TTGTTGTTGTTGTTGTTGTTGTTGTTGTTGTTGTTGTTGTTGTTGTTGTTGTTGTTGTTGTTGTTGTTGTTGTTGTTGTTGCTGTTGTTGTTGTGGTTGTTGTTGTTGTTGCTGTTGTTGTTGCTGAAGCTTCTGCTGTTGTTGACTTTGACTAAGCTGCTGTTGTTGATTCTGTTGCTGGTTCTGTTGCTGCTGCTGTTGCGCCTGTATGAACGATGAGTACGGCGAATTGTGTGGTTGTGCATGCTGGCCAGGCAAAGTCTGGGCGTGAATAATATGTGGCGACATGTTTGGTTTCCCCTGCACTTGTCCTTGGTCAGAACCTCCAGGTATTTTACTCTGTTGACCACCCATCAGGGGCGAATTCCTCCCATTGCCCTGCATATGCGACTGGTTCGCACTCAACAGGGGCGATTTCTGAGCTTTTACGAGCTGTTGGCGTGGTGAATTCGCAGTCAGCAGTGACTGGCTGCCAGCAGAGCCCCGGCCTGTCTCCTGTCGCTGTGGCTGTGGCTGAGGTTTCTGTTGTAATTGGGCTTGTGCCTGTACCTGTGCCTGTGTCTGTGCCTGTGCCTGTGCCTGTACCTGTGCCTGTGCCTGTGCCTGTGCCTGCGCTTGCGCTTTTGCCTGCGCTTGCGCTTGTGCCTGTGCTTGTGCCTGTGCTTGTGCTTGTGTATACGCCGCCATTTGGGCCACCCCAGCTTGGTTCGCATACCCCTGTTGTGGTTGCTGTATCTGTTGCGATAGACCAAACCCTCCCGGTGAGCCTTGCTGTGCGTGTGGCATGGGAGATGATGGAGCTCCCTGTTGACTCTGGGCCGATTTTTGTCCTCTAAGAGGTGTCTTGCCTACTACATGTCCAGATTGTGCAGGTTGTTTTCCGGGACCAGAGGTGGGGTTTAGTGGGGTACCAAAAGCGGCTTGTTGCATAGCGCTTTGTTGGAAGTTGCGTATTTGTTGTAGTTGCTGTTGTTGTTGGTGGGTCCTCTGCTGCTGCATCAACAGCTGCTGTTGTTGCTGTTGCTGTTGCGTTAGCATAGGTATGGAGCCGATCACGCCCAGAGGATTCTTTTGCACTCCGGGACCATGTTGGAAGTTCTGTGAATATCCAAGATGGGAGATAGGGTTAGTTGAGCTGATGCATGCGCTTTTATGTTGATGCTTAGGTTTTTGAACCCCTTGCCGTATTATAGCTGGATTAAGAACATCCCATAGGACACGCGCACAAAGATCTAGCACAATAACCGCACATTAAATTATGCATGCGGTATATGACACGCACTAACGCATATCTCTTTGCCTTTGACTAGAACGTCTGCATACACTGAACAACAGAGGCTGACTTCATCCTCAATAGAAACTCAAACACCTCAGCACATACGTTCATAATCTGTCTGGGCTGGTTATGCGGATTCATCATATACATCTGCCTCTGCTGCGCAGTCATCTGTCCGTACTGCAACCCAGCGCCTGCGTTAGAGCCAGCATTACCACCAGCGGCGCTCACTACCGGAGAGGTGCCGTTCATACCCAGACCTATACCAGCTACGCTCCTGTTATTCATACCAAGATGCGGACTCATAATGCTGTGTACTTGACCAGGTTGCTGTACGCCTAGAGATAGACCCCCTCCCACGCCCATGCCGCCTAGAAAACGAGGTGGATTTCAAGAGGTATGTAGTGTTGAGTAAAGATTAAGTTTACGGTTCTATATTACAGAGTCAGATATAAGATTGAGGAAGTATGTGATGCTTGAAGCGATCTTTGTATATCGAAGACTGTAAATGATGAATAACGGATATATGTACATGTGTGTAATTTATATATGTAAATTTATATCTATATATATATATATATATATATATGTATATATATTTATATATATATATATATATATGCATGTATGTATGTATGTATGTATGTATAGATGTATGTAT